TACAGATGGGAATGGCCCATTAGATTAGTTTCCATCAGATTATTTGTCCTCGCTGACTTTTCAGGCTCAGAGAAGCGGCCCACATCTCTGATATTTCACTTTCCAGGAGTTCCTGTGGTCTGCTTGGCTTCTGCTCACATGTGAAGCTGATGTTCCTCCGTCTCCGCCGTGGGGGTTTCAGTGGATCACAAGGCTGTGGAGGAATTCAGCTTAAAGCCTAAAGTTTATTCCGGTTCATAAGGAGGCTCTTGTTTCCTGCAGAGTTTTTTTCTGCTGGTGAAGCTCTTAGATGTTTTAGTTCCCTTCTTGCTGCCTTTTCCCCAGAATGGAAACGTTTCTGCAGGGAGGGAAACTGAGACAGGAGGGGGGTCTTCCCCTGACATTTCTGTCTATTTCTGTTCATTTTCAGGCCTAAGACATCAAGACGTGTTTGTCTACATCAGATAGAGGGTGTCTAAATTTAGCTGTCCAGGTGCGTCAACATGAAAAGGATGTGGGCAGGTTTAGCCGGTGCAGCTTTCCTTTTTCTTTTCAGTTGAAGTTGGTGGAAGACGAGACAGACAGGAAGAATCAACAGATGGGAATGCAAATCTGAGGCATAAACGTGATGGGCACGGTGGCCTGTTAGGGACTATCATTGCATCAGCTGCTGCTTTTAGCCTTTTTAAAAAGCACCTGAAACAGAATAAAAGTGGTTAGATTCGAGTAAAGAGTCAAGACCACAAGTTTAAACAATTAAAACATTAGAAAACAAACAGAAATTCTACTGAATTTCCCAGAAATCCACATTGTTAAAATGCTGAGTCAGTAGAAGAGAATTCAGCTCAAATAAAAGTCTCCAGAGTTTAAGTCTGCACCAAAAGTCTGACGTCTGCATGAGACTAATAAATGGCTGATTTAGGACTGCACAATATATCGTAAATATATCGTTATCGCGATATCAGCATGGCCAATATGCATATCGCAAAAAACATAAATATCGCAATGAATGGTCAGCTCAAATGTTTGCTACACATAACGCCAGAGGTGGAAAGAGTACTAAAATTTCCTACTTAATTACAAGTACCAATACTTTGATCATTTTTTACTCAAGTACAGGTAAAAGTACTTGCCTAAATTTTTACTCAAGTCAAGGTAAAAAGTATCGTAAATAAAATGTGCTCTAAGTAAAAGTTACTTAGTTACATTTTTGTCTGCATAAAGATGGCTACATCAGTGCAAAATCACAACACCAGTTCACAACACGCTCATGTGTGCACACACACACACACACACACATACACGTCATGACTAATTTAACTACACTGAACTGCTTTTATGATTATTTAATCTCTTATTCTGGAGTAAAATAAAGAAACAAGCTAAATCATCACATATGTGTGGCATCAAGAAGCATCTTCTGAGTTCAAACACAGGGATGGAGCTCAATGTTTACACCTGAACAGCATCAGGATGTTTAACTCACAGAGGCCTGCAGGTCTTCTGTTTTATGAGCAGAGCGCTGAGAATCCGCTTGTTATGAGCGCTAAACGTTATTTTGCCGCTTCCGTGCGGAGCGGTAGGGAAACATGTTTCAAACACGGAACCAAGTGGAATTGTGATGACGTCACACCGGTGCGCAAAGGTGCGGGTTCCAACCCACCGGAGAGGAGGGAGAGATGAGGTAAACAGCGAGTGGATCACAGGGTCTGAACGGATGTTTTGGAGCAGAAGTGTACACCCACCCCCCACGGTTTAGACGCGGCGCTCATGCAGGTGTCTCTTTCTGTTCCGACGCTGCTACACGCAATATTTTTAATTTATTAAGCCTATAATTTGTTTTTACTCGGTAGCGGATATGATTTAAAATGTAGCGAATTACAATTCTTTAAAAACTTACTCAAGTAAAAGTAGTTTTTAAAAACGACTTAAAAAGTATAAATATACAAAAAAAACTACTCAATTACAGTAAAGTGAGTAAATGTAATTTGTTACTTTCCACCTCTGCATAACGCATTCTGTCAGTCAAACGGAAGCATGATGTTTTTTAACTAATCAAATGGAGCTCTTCGCCCATTTGGCCAATTGGGTGGGTTCTCATAGGTCACATGCCCGCCTCCGACATAATTTTGATGGCTAGCAAACACCCGAGTTAGCTTAGTTCTGCTGATTCTGCTTTTCTTGTTCATTTTCTTTTTCCTTTCCTCAAATATTTAGCTTTTCTCACTTTTCTGATTTTTTTTTGTCCTTCTTTTTCTTTGTTTTTGATTATTTTTGTTCCCGAGTTAAGTTTTTATTTATCGCAAAGTAATATCGTCATCGCAATATTAACCACTGTTATCGCATATCGCAGGTTTTCCTAATGCGGTGCAGCCCTTAACCAAATAAAAAAGGAGAGAAATTACTGGGATGAACCAGAAAAGTTAAATGTTTTCACTGAAATGAAAAACGTTTAGAAGCTTCTTTGTTTTTCTGCTGCTGTTTGTGTTTAGATGTGAGCAGCCAGCAAGGTCGGGGTGTAACTGGAGGGAGTGTTGCAGCAGCTTTCCATGTGAAAGAATAAAACCCAAATCGCTGCTTAGCTGATTTGAGTTGCTCTGATTTAAATTTCTGCTCCGTCATCAGAAGATGGATGTGGTTTCTCATCACGTCTGACATTTGAGGAAGTAAAGCAGAAGGAGCTGTTGGGAAATCGCTGTCTGAAACAGAGAACCACTAAAAGACCACAACATATTTTATAACGGTTTTCATTTATTCCACGTTTCTTTCACTAATACGTGTAAATTTACTTATTAAAGATTTAAACAAAAAAAGATCATAAATATTTTTAAACTGATTTATTTAATAAGATTAAACTTTTTCAAACATTTAGACGGAAAATTTGAATCAGAGAAACAAAATGAAGCAATTAAAAATGTGGGTTTTGTTAAACTATCTTCAAATAGTTTAAAAGTTGACTTAATCTATAAAAATACATTAATTGTAACTTTATTGAAGTTTTTAACAGGAACTAAACGGTTTTATTCCTTTAGCTGGAAAACCAAATCCCAGGAATGTGAGAGCGAGGTCCTCAGAGCCACGAGAGAAAGCTCTGAGAAACTCTCGCGTGGATGCGGTTTATAGTTACTTATTACTAAGTAGTTACTACCTAAGAACCAGTTAGAACTGGCGTTAGTTACTAAGGTGTAACCACTGAAAGAAGCCCTTAGCTTTAACTGGCAGAATATAAAAAGTGATGTCCCCCTGGGGACACTGGGGGACCCCAATGACACCCCCTCACAGAGACAGTTTGCCGAAACTTCCCCAGGTCTAGGATGTCAAACTAACTAAACCCAGTTGAGTTAATTTAACACCCGAGACCTCTTGAGTTACTCGTGGCCCGCTTGCTGACTGGCACCAGCAAGTGGGATCACATAACCCCGGTTCTGGCCTCTCTTCATTGGCTTCCTGTCTCTTACAGGATCCGTTTCAAAATTTTACTTTGATTTTAAATCCCTTCATGGCCTGGCCCCATTTTACATCTGAGCTGCTGTCCGCTTACATCCCTGCCAGAACCATGAGGTCCAGCTCTCAAGCTCTTTTAACAGTTCCAAAAACCCGCCACAGGACTTGCGGCGACAGAGCGTTCTCTGTGGTTGGTCCCCAGCCGTGGAACACACTACCTCTCAACATCAGGCCCACACACAATCTAGAGCATTTTAAATCCCTCCTTAAGACACATTTTTTGATTTGGCTTTTAGTGCAGGCTGACTTGAGCATCTTAATAGTTTTTAACAGTTTTTATTACAGATTTGGACTGTGTGCTCATCTTATTTTAGTTTTTTATTGTTGATTTGTTGTACCTTGTACAACGCTTTGGGTGTAGCTTTGCTGCTGTAGATGTGCTCTATAAATAAAGAAAAAAATAAATAAATAACATCTAGTTAGTAACTAGTTACTAAAGAGAACATTGAAGCTTGTAGCGCTCCCATGAACCGTTAAACTAGGTAGTAACTAGTAACTACTTAGTAACAATGAAAAGCGTCCACAAGGGTTTCTAAAAGCTTCAGTTTTCTATGTATTAACTAGTTACTAGTTAGTATCTATTAGAGGTGCTGGAAAAAAATCGATTCAAGTCTGAATCGGGATTCTTATTTATAAAGGTTCAGAATTGATTCCAAGAACTGAAATATTTGGCATGTTACAGGCTTGAGATGCACTTTTTTGAACTTGTGTTAGGAGAGTCAGTACTCCGTTTACTTTTGTGGTCCCATAAATTGAGATGATTTATGTTTGAATCTGCTGATAAGAGGGCATTTGAATGTCATTTTTTCCATACATAAATTTGAGATATTCTCATATTTATTTTCTAAGTTGATAAATGAGTACTCAGGATTACTCTTGTAACTTGTTTCTACACATACTTGAAAAGTATTTGACCGTATTACTTTCAAAGCTACTGTTAGTCAACTACAGATTTGTTATATTTTACAAGGTAAGCAAAAATAAATGTTGCCTTTTGGTCAAAAGATTGTTTCTGTTTAAAGTTTTAGAATCACTTCAGTTTACATTGTAAATTTGCATTTTTGGAGCACGACCAGTTTAAAGTCAAATAAAAATGTCCCATAGCTTTAACTAACTTGTACAACAAAGTAGTTCATCCTGGAGCTGACACTCTTTGTTAATACTGATTGTGAATCGATTTAAATTGAGAATCGAGAATCGATTCTGAATCGAATCGGCACCCCAAAGAATCGGAATCGAATCAAATCGTGAGTTGCTCTTAAGATTCACATCCCTAGTATCTATTACTGGCTACTAACTGGTTAATAACTAGTTAGTTTCTATTAGTAGTTAGTAACCAATAACAAGTTATTATTTACTAGTTACTAACTAGTCAAAGCTACCAGTAACTAGTTACCGGTAACTAGTTAGTGACTGATTTACCAGCCAGTTGCGTCATCACTAGCAGTTGGAGCCCGGTCAGATTTAGGCGGTCAGAAGTAACTAGCTGCTCATGAACGTCCTCTTCTGTCCCTCAGGTGAAGCTCGGCGCCCACCTGTGATGTCTCACTGACCCCGCCCACTCAGCAGCTGGAGGCGAGCATGCTGCATCAGCACAGCGTTTCCTGTAGGCAGCGCTGCTGAGGTGAGACGGGTCGGCGGCCACCATGGAGGAGTTCTCCACCAGAACCTACGGCACCAGCGGCCTGGACAACAGACCTTTGTTTGGAGAGACGTCGGCTCGGGTAGGAAGCAGGAACCAATCAGCTCACGTCTCTGGTTTCGCCGCAGAAATAAAACCTTTGCTTCTAGTCAGATTTTATTCTCATGGGAGGGGAAACGATTAACTCCATCCTGGATTAGGTTATTACAGATGATCAGATTATTTTAGTCCAGAACGTCTGGAACAACGTTAAAATAAAAGCTCGTTTGTTTCCTGCAGGACCGAATCATCAACGTGGTGGTGGGCGGAGTCACGTTTGTCGTGGTTCTGGTGAGTCTCTGCTGATGTCCACCTCCAGCTCCTAGTCCCAACCCAGGAAGCTTCAAATTTCAAAATAAAATCAGAGGGATTGTTTTCATTCAGAAGCAGCTCAAACCATTTTCATCTATTTTTTAATTTGGTGACTTTTACCAGAGAATAGCTGTAATTTCTGATTCCTTCTGAAGAAACTAAAACATTTGCTCAGACATAAAATAATTTTGTTTCCTCATTTAAAATCTCTGCTGAATCTGGAGAAATTCCCCACAAACCACATGAAAATGTCCTAAATTCTAATAATCCCGAATAGAAAATAAAGCCTCTGAATGAAACTCGGAACGTCAGGATTTATTTTCCAAACGACGGATCTGGATTTGTGGTTTTCAGGTGACCGTGATCGGGTCGTTCGTCTTCTCGCTGCCTCCGCGGCCGCTCAACATCTTCTTTGCTGTTTGCATCCTGTTAGCATGTGGCTCCACTGTAGTGCTGGTAAAAACACACGCACACACACACGTTAATTAAAATCTACTGTCAGTTAACAAGTTGTGATGATAAACAGGAAGGGATGTAATCAGTTAAAGTGTTATAATAGGGATTTGTGAGATTATTGGACATGTTTGTGTCATAATCGGAGTTTGAAAGTTAGAAATCCTTCCCTTTAGTTATGTTTGGAATGAGTTTCCACATCCGGCTGCTCGGCGGTCTCTGATGTAGGTCGAGCTCCTTCTGCTGTTGCAGCTGGAGGTCACAGGGTGCCGTTTGTGGATCAAACCCACGGCTAACGGGCTGTTCTCTTCACCCTCAGATATTCTGGTACCGGCAGGGCGACCTGGAGCCGAAGTTCAGGAACCTGATCTACTACATGCTGGCGACCATCGTGCTGCTGTGTTTATGTGCAAACCTGTACTTCTTCGACGCCGGGTAGAGACGGAGACGACGCGGCTGTGACTGACCGAGGTCCACCAGTGAACAGCGAAAGACTCGCACCATCAGGAAGACAAACAAACATTTAACACGTTCATTCGGATCTCCAGAGGAGCAAAAGGCAGGGCAGCATACTGGTTCCAGTGGGAGGACTGGGAGTGATGTCATAAATCAGCCTGGAGGACCAAAGCTAACAGAAACAGGCTTGTTTACATGCAAATAAACAACCTCAAGCTTGCTTGGGAATAAGCCGATGTAAAAGGTCTGACCTTTGACCCAGTCATGTGGGTAAACTTCACAGTTTGGATATTTTTAAACAGGCAGAGAAAACGGCCCAAATCCATTAACGAGTCCCTCAGATTGGTTAAACCGACCCAGGAGGCGAGTCAGACGTTCATCTGCCGCTAAACCGACCCGCGCCCACGGGGTGGGGGTGCTGGAGAGGAAATCACGGTGCAGAACCGGTGACGGTCGGGTTCAGTCCAACTGAACGGCCATCTTTAAAGCAGAACACCAGATGCTTCATTCTGTGTAAAACCTATAAATCTCACCTGAACAGCCTCCGTTCAGAGAAATGGAAACACCCTCACGACGGAGCGATCCTGCACGTTTGAGGTTTCCTTTCTTCAGCACACCTGATCGATGATTCCTGTTAACCACCTGTTGATTTAAATCGGTGTGATGGAGCAGAGAAACACGTGAAGCCTGCAGAACGGAGGTCCTCCGGAACCAGAACCTCTGAGATAACTAGTGTGTTGCTGTGGCTGAAACGTCCCAGCAGGTCATGTGACGTTAGCTCATAAACCTGTACATCTTGGCTGAGCTCAGACTAGCCGTTAGCTCGTCAGTCCTGAAGGACAACAGAGGCTGTTCAGGAAGCTGTTGAGGATGAGAGGAAATATTTAGAACCTGTAAACTTCAGAGTAGCGGTCATGTCTCCAGAAGTGAGGATTAGAGAGTCAACGAGGTGAGTTTAGGTTACAATCTGAGTTTGAGTTGTGTGTTAATGATTTATTCATCTGCTTTAACTATAATCGGATTCCTGAGCTGGTTAATCCAGAGATGAAGTTAACCACGAAGAGCCAAAATTACGACACACCTTCCAGCCAACGAGTGCGCGTGGGTTAATTCTGGCCTCTGATTGGTCGCTCGTAACACCACAATATTCATTTTTCTTCATTTTCTAATAAAACTTATTGAAATTGGCTCTTTGCTTCTGAATGATCGCTTTGTTGAAAATGTTTCCCGTTTCTTAGTGGTGATGCATTCAGGAGCGGCCCACGCTGTCAGAAATGTCACGTTTGAGTAAAGATCAAAGCTACTGGGGGGGTTTGTTCTGGGTGCAGGATGAAAACCCTCCTCTTCCTCTCGGTTCTGGTGGCCGAACAGGAAACGGGACTTTCTGCTTCTGGTTGTTTTTCGTTTGAATTCATGCCCAAATCATTCGCTTTTCTCCGACTTTACTGCCTGATTTTTGCACTTAAACCACAAACCAACCAATAAAACCTAAACTCAGAAATTGTCCTGTTGTTCGTCCTGGGGCTCGAATCCAAGTGTGAGCGTAGCGTCCCATCCTGTTTGTGATTCACAGGAATCGCACCATTTTGTTTTACAAGTCAAGAAAACATTTATGGAGTCGTTAAAATCGTATCTTCTCATTTTATTGCAGATGTGCGAAAAAGTTTACTTTCCTCAAAGATTTCTTCTGTCAACAATGAAATTAAATCTTCAGCCGATCTGAGAACAAATCACCTCCATACTAAACAAATTAACCAGTTTAACCAGCCACACCCAGACCTGTTCACTACCACACCAGTGGGGGTGGGAGAATCACCAGGACCTGTGTGACAGGAAGCAGGCTAAAAGGTCCAGAAAAGCAATGACATCTATCTGCTGGGGTTTCTCCTTCGTGTTAACTAAACCTAAAAGGATGATCCGTCTGTGATAAACTCAGTTATTAAAGGTGCAACATGTAAGAACTAAGTAAAATCACATCCTGCTGGTTACTAATCACACTCACTGCCGTCCTGAGTTTCATGGCCGTTGCCAGTTAGAGACCAGCACCAGCAGACGCTACATGAAAAGCGAAAACGAGTCATACAGTAAACTGAAAGTAGATAAATTCGTCATCGTGGTCTGCTAACACTTTTGGGTGTTTTACGGTAGGGAGCACTTACTACACTTATTGTGGTAATATGCCTCTGGGATAGAGGAAGTGTTTTACCGTCTGGCTAGCTTGCCGTTACAGCCCAAAACAACTCATCGAAGGAAGTAAGACGCCACGATTGACTAATTTTTCACTTCACTGTAATATCCACTCGTTAGTGATTGAAAAAGTAGCTTGAGATATTTTTAGAGCCGAGTATTTGCTTCTAATTCACCATTAGCATTGTTGGCTGGAATAAGAGTAAAGCAAAAAGATGCCGTCGCTTCTTAAGGGTACAAAAAATAACTTCTGGGTTGCTCCTGTTGACTGGGTTCTCTTAGCCGGCCGTAGTCTAATCACAGATGTGGCGCTGCAGCGTTAGCTCGCAGGAGACACAGCAACCCCGCACTCATAATAAACAGTAGCTAGGCTCCTTCCTTTGGAAGCAGCACAACTGATAACCGCCGCAGCCGGCTGAGAAGGAAATCCGTTTCAGGACAACCTTCCTTCCAACAGGAGGGAGACATCAGACTGTTTTGGGATCATTTCACTGTAGAAATCGGACTTCGCTCTCACACACTGCACCTTTAACAAACGGGTCTCTGGAGCTCAGGTGCAGAGAAATAAAATAAATAATCATATGAAATATGACTTCGACATGTTTGTGACTAAATCCGCTCTGACTACCACCGCTTTCTCATCAACACACCGATTTAGTTTGAGCAGAAAACAGAAGCTTGTAAAAACATTTCCCCCGCTAAAGAACGGGATTCAGTCGGAACAGAACTCTCCGCTCCACTGTGTTCACATTTTATCCAGGGATTCAGATCCGAGTCTCAAACGGGCCGTTTACGTTTTAAATGGTCCTGCAGCGCGGGCCCAGGCTGTCAGAGGTAGCGCCCCCTGGCGGCCAGCCTGCTTCAGTCAGAACCTTCCTGGTTCTCGAAGATGGGATCTGTGGACAGGCGGGACGATCGTCAGGTTCTTAGTGATGACATCACAGCTGGACAGGAGTGCGTGTTCGTTACCTGTCAGGGTACTGCTGATGTTGGGAGGAGACACGGTGAGCACAGCGCTGCCTGATGCTATCCCAGAATGCACCAGTGCACCCTGATCCGAGGAGGACGGTGGACCCTGGAAGAACAGCTGCATTAAATCACTTCTGGACTTTAGAGCAGAAATCTGAGTTTTACTAACTCAGAAACATAAATTTATCTTCTTTTTGTTCTCATTGTGGTTTTTTAGATCTTAAAAACTCCATCATCTTCTTCCGCTTATTCAGAGTCGGGTCGCGGGGGCAGTAGCCTAAGGTGAGAGGCCCAGACTTCTCTCTCCCCAGCCACTTGGGCCAACTCCTCTGGGGGAATCTTAAGTCGTTCCCTGGCCAGGTGAGAGACATAGTTCCTCCACTGTGTCCTGGGTCTACCTTTAGATCTCCTTCCAGTTGGACGTGCCCGGAAAACCTCACCAGGGAGGTGTCCAGGAGGCATCCAGATACCCGAGCCATCTCAACTGGCTCCTCTCGATGTGGAGGAGCAGCGGGTCTACTCCGAGCCCCTCCCAAATGACCGAGCTTCTCACCCTATCTCTAAGGGAGAGCCCAGCCACTCTTCGGAGGAAATTCATTTCGGCCGCTTGTATCCGTGATCTCGTTCTTTCGGTCACTACCCAAAGCTCATGACCATAGGTGAGGGTAGGAACGTAGATCGACCGGTAAATCGAGAGCTTCGCCTTCTGACTCAGCTCTCTCTTCACCACAACAGACCGGTACAACGCCCGCATCACTGCAGATGCAGCACCAATCCGTCTGTCGATCTCACGCTCCATCTTCCCCTCACTCGTGAACAAGACCCCGAGATACTTAAACTCCTCCACTTGGGGCAGGACCTCATCCCTGACCCGGAGAAGGCATTCTACCCTTTTCCGAATCAAGAGCATGGTCTCAGATTTAGAGGAGCTGATTCTCATCCCAGCTGCTTCACACTCGGCTGCCAACCGCTCCAGCGAAAGCTGAAGATCACGTTCTGATGAAGCCAACAGGACCACATCATCTGCAAAAAGCAGAGACTCGATCCTCAGGCCACCAAACCAGATGCCCTCCACATCTTGGCTGCGCCTAGTAATCCTGTCCATAAAGGTAATGAACAGAATCGGTGACAAAGGGCAGCCTTGGCCTTTCCTAAAAACTCAATAGAGCCAAATATTGTTTACATTTATCCTAAATTCATTATTAACAAAGGAAAAACAGATTTTTTTGTTTAAATTCCGATTGTTGACATTCATCTTTAAAACCAAAGAAAAACCCAGAGGGGCGGAGCCACAGTGAAGCTCAGGTTATGATGAAACAATAAAATCTAAACGTATTTCTACCTTGCTGTTAAAACCTTCGGTTTCTGGCTCCTGGGTTTCCATGACAACCGAACCTTCCAGAAGCTGGCTCCGCTCCTCTGTCTCTATCACAAGCTGTGGTTCGGAGGAGGCAGAGTCAGAGGAGACGGTTTGGATGATGACGCCATCGCCAGAGCAGAGGCCATCGGTCTGAGGAGAAAAAAAAAAAGGTCAAAAACAAACAAAACGGGGCGGAGAAACGCTCAGGAGGCAGAACACTGACCGATAGGCTGTGCAGGATGATGTGCTCATGTGGAGAGGGGGAGGAGCCTGTTGTTAAGGTTACCGTGCTGTTATTGGCTAAACTGATAGGGAGGCTCTGGTTCGATGTGGTCTGGAGGAAGTAGGTCCCTGGGGTGCTGGTGGGCTGCAGGTGGAAGGACTGGAAACACAAAGCACCATGACATCACTTCCTTCTAATGTTTAGCTAAGGCCTGGGGACGCCATTGTGTCCAATGGCGTCCCCAGGTCTCGGATGTTAAACTAACTCAACCGTCCCCTGGTGTCCCCCACTGTCCCCAGGTCTAGGATGTTAAACGGACTAAACCCAATTGAGTTAATTTTAACACCCGAGACCTGGGGACAGCAGGGGACGGTTGAGTTAGTTTAACATCCTAGACCTGGGGATTCTGGGGGACAGCAGGGGACTCTGGGGGACGTTTAACAGCTGCAGAGACGGGATATTCAGGAACATTTACATAAATCACGCCTCAGATCAGAGGAGCTGTTGTCCCCTGAGACGGGGACGTTGACCCAGATGTGTAGCTCAAGTCTATAAGTTCCTGTTTCTGATTAAACCAGAACCAGAACCGCTGCTGCTATGAAACCAAACTCCAGAAGGATTTATTCAGCTTCAGGAGTTTTTATCTTTAAATGGAAACGTTTTTTACCTTTTTTCTTGCTTACTGTGACCTGCTGGTTTACGACCACTCACCCTAAGCTCCACCATTTGTGAACTTCTCAGTCATTCTGCTTGTTTTTTACTAGAAGTTCGATCGTTTCTGATCGGTTTGCCTCCATGTGATGATTGTGTCTCATCATTTATGACCACTTGTCTAATCCTGGTCGGGATTTGAGGATTATTCAGTCAAACCCAAGGGACGAACTCCGGCTGCCAACATGGAAGTGACAGACTGCAGTTCCTCCCTCATCCACTAGGGGCTGGCTCCAGAAAGGAGCCAGTTCCCATCGACTCCATGTTAAAAAAAGACAACAACACATTAGCGATGTAACCCTGGCTACTGGTTTTGGGTTTGGACCCACCGGCAGGATCTCGAATGTCTGCAGCGCTCCGGCGTTCAGAGTGATGGTGTCACCGTCGGCGGCTGCAGGAGAATCTGAAGCTGTGAACACAAACACACCCGAGGTGAGCAGAACCGCCCCGCCGGGTTTCGGTTCTGAGCTTTTAGAGTCGCAGGCTCACCCAGATGAGTGATCTGCAGCGGGATCTGCACAGGTATCTGCAGCGCCGAAACGGAGCTGGGGGTGGACATACTCCCGTTGCCCTCGTCCAATCGGGTGAGTCGGATCTGGAGCGAGGAAGAGGCGGGGCTTGTGGGGACGGATGCTGTCTGTGATGATGTCATCAGCTCCTCCAGGCCCTTCAGGAGGACTGAAACGTTCAGAGGGCTGGTGTGATGAAAGCCATCATGACTAACTCTTAAAGACGCTGTGTAGGTGTGTGTGTGTGTGTGTGTGTGTGTGTGTGTGTGTGTGTGTGTGTGTGTGTGTGTGTGTGTGTGTGTGTGTGTGTGTGTGTGTGTGTGTGTGTGTGTGTGTGTGTGTTCTATATACGTATACACACACACACCAGCGTAAGGGATCTCCTTGTGATTGGTGACTTGTCTCTTGATGCTCCACCACTTGGACCGAAGCCACTGAGGTGACCGGACGCTGCTCCACCCCCACGCCAGATCCTCCCACTTGATTTCATTCTCATCCTCGACTTTCAGCGTCGATATCCTGAAGACACAGTTTTCATTTACAGGTGTGTATGTTGGACCTCTAATCTTCACACACACACACACACACACACACACACACACACACACACACCTGCGCAGCAGGTTCAGATCGTCCTCCTTTGTCCACTCGGCCCCTCCGCTGTGTTTCCAGTTCAGGTAGTTTAGCCATTTTGAGCGACACTGTTTCTCTGAGCGCGTGCGAACTCGATCGGCGACCGTCGCCCAGGACACCCCTCCCGTGACCGCCAACCCGGGAGACACGCCCGCCATCTCGTACACGACCTCCGCCAGGCGCTTCTCCTCCTCCTCGCTCCATTTGCCTGAGTCACAAGCGGCAGAACGAGTAAACAAACGTATTTGTTTACGTTTGTGAAGGTCCTAACGGGTCCGCACCTTTGTTACACGTGTCCTTCATCAGCCGACATCGGTCTTTCACAGACGAGGCGCTGCGGCCGAGCGCCGCTCCGATCGTCGCCCAGTCGTTCCCGTGCTTCTCCCTCAGACTAAAACACACAAGCGCAGCTGAAGCTACCCGACAGGTGAGTTACTGACATTAAACCGACGCCGAGACGTTTACTCACGCCCTCAGCTGCTCGATCTCGTCCGGAGTGTACCTGGAAACAAAAAACACAACCACTCAGACTCACAATCATCATGTTTCTAGTCGTGCTTCTCTGCAGACTCACTTCCCGACGTGGTTTCGGTTGTCGTACATCCGTAGAACTCGCCGGTAGACGGCGAACAGCGGCCTGTTTAGCCCCAACGCCACAGAGCGATAAAAGTCCTTCCTGTCCTCTTTGGACATCTCAAAGATGATCTCTGCTGGATCCTCGATGCCACGGCCCTGAACACACAAACCTTTATTCCTGCAGTCAGACACGACGAATGACGCCACGGCAAAGAGCCACAAACCTTCACGTATCCGTCGATGTTACTCATCAAGATGTCGATCTCCTCCTTGGACCACATTCCCTGTTTCCACTTGTGGCCTAAAGACGGAAAAATGTTAAATAACTGAACTAAGCTTGAAATGTTCTGCAGATTCCTAAAACCAACATGAATTCTGAAGTCTGCAAACACGAACCTTCTAAAACCAGGAGTTCAAGATCCACTAGAGAGCCAGAACCCAGGCTGGTCCAGAACCACAACAACTAACCCGACTAAACAAACAAACAACACTCTGCGGTGGTCTCTAGTATAAATGGATGTCTTGAGAGTTGATCTCCGTGGGAAAAAAGCTCTGGCGCTCCCGTTTCAGGAAGTAGAAATCAACCAGAGGAGTGGAGTGCAGAAGACGGCAGGATCTGGAGTCTTACTTCCTGATGTTTGGACATCTCTCCTCTGATTGGCTAACAGCAACAGGACTCTACCACTGACGGTTTGCTCTGCAAACGTTTTACCTCCACAAATAACACAAGCCTGGAGGAGTTCGGCTGTGTGGTGGAGTTGCTAATGCTAATGGTTAGCTTCTACTAGCCCAGACGTTCTCCGCCGTTTCCTGGACGCTGGACATTAACACCAGCCTCTCAGAACCAATAAAAAGACCAGAACCAGGCCTGATCCGGACTGAACTGAAACGCATTTAGAAAGCAGAACTCTGAACCTTGTGTGTTGTTGTTGTTGTGTTGTTGTGTACCTTTGTTGGTCAGTGTGTCTTTATCCTCTTTAGTAGTGAACCAGGCCTGACTGACAGGAGAAACGTCGGCCTTCTGGTCTTCGGGTAGAATCTACAGACAAACACTTTGGTAAATGGCCTGTATTTGATATAGCGCCTTCTAGAGTCCTGGAACCCCCCAAGGCGCTTTACAACACAATCAGTCATTCACCCATTCACACACACATTCACACACTGGTGGGGATGAACTACGATGTAGCCACAGCTGCCCTGGGGCGCACTGACAGAAGCGAGGCTGCCGAGCACTGGCGCCACCGGTCCCTCCGACCACCACCAGCAGGCAAGGTGGGTTAAGTGCCTTGCTCAAGGACACAACGACAGCGACAGACTGAGCGGGGCTCGAACCTGCAACCTTCCGATTACGGGGCGAGCGCTTAACTCCTGTGCCACCGTCGCCATTTTCTTCAGTTTTGTTAAAAGCCGTTTAGATTTGTCAGATTCTGGAACATCAGAACATTTCTACTGACCCTGTCTGACCCCGCCCACTTTCCTGAATTCTGGTGATTGAGGAAAAACGACTTCACCGAACTGAGATAAAAAAAAACTCCACCTCAATCTGAGCGACGCCGTCTTCAGACAGATCTCCTTCGGCTGTCGCCGTCATCGTCACCTCGAAGCTCTCGTCACTCTCAGAACCTAAAACACCATAAAACATCTTTAAGGGGTTTGATGACACAGCATATTCCCAGTTTTTAGCTTAGATTATAATCTGTGTTTGGTTGTGATTTGATTCTGTTACCCGTGAAGATTACTTTGGTGTTCTCGAAATGTTTCTCTAATTAATGACGAAAAGCCATAAACCAAAGCCAAAACCACACATGGGGGAGCTCTGCTGTTTTGGCTGGCTTGTAGCACCCCCTAGTGTCCGTCTGTAGAACCAAAACTAAAATCTCTCTCCTCGCTGTGCATTCGTCTTTAAACGCTTCAATCTAACAGCTGAAACGTCTCCCAGCCTTCGTTAGCGTCTACAGGTGTGGTTCGTCACGAAATTAAACAAGTCGGCCGTCTTCGTGATCTAAACTATGCAGAAAACGTGCTGGAACCAGACTGCAGCGCCAGGTATGTCAGCTCCATCGTTGTGTGAGGCCCAACAGAGCGGCCGCCAGGCTGATGCTGCAAGTGGGATACTCTGGCCACAGGGGCCGATAGGGGCGGGGGGGGGCTTTCATTAACATGTAAATGGTCATTTTAGCACACTGCCTCAAGAAAATGATTCATAAATATAACATTTTACTTTTCTTGACATTGAATGTGCTACTACTAGTTTACCCGTTTAGTTACAGATTCACTAGGATAAATACTATTAAGTTTATCTCTCACCAAATAGAATATTTACTAAATCACAATGTAACCATAGACACTCTACTTGGTGTGTGTGTGTGTGTGAGTGTGTGTGTGTCTGCTCTGTCTTCTCCATCACCAGTGAGTCATGGTGGGTGGCTGCTTATTGACCCTTTGCACCGACGTCACCTAATCACGTGTCCTAATCACCATGGTGGATGGCAAAAGCATGTAAACAGTGAGCGACATGAGCACTAAGCAAAGGGAAAAGTAGAGCCTGAAATTGTTTTTGCGATCAAAACAAAACTCCTCCAGCATTCCCTCAACTAGTTCGTGCTCAGTTCAATTATCAGAAGAAGTAGCGTATCTAGCGGTGCGTTAACTAGCTTACCAACGTTAGCTTACTTCTCTCTGCAGCTGTTTACCGTTGTAAACATGTTGCTGACTTTGCCTAAATTCACCCCTCTGGATTTATAACATTATGTTATAAACAGCGTTTCACTTTACACCAAAGCTGATTTTTAAAAAGTCCCGATCCCTACCAGCTTCTGTTGCTGGTGGTGTTACCGGGTTCAGCTGCTGCTCTCACACCGGAATGAGAAGCTCTCTGAACGGCGACGCTCATATAAATAAATAACGTAATTTTAACACACGTAATCATACATCAGAGCTTTAAATATTGTTAATAATTGTCTCACTTTACACTACAGTGGACGGAGCGCAGCCTCCGTGGTGAAATACCCATCCATCAGGATTATCAATGTAGCGCCACGAAGGTCCTCTAATTTGTGACAAGGGTCACATTTTCCCAACTAGGTCAAGCTGGGTCAGACTGTAACTTTTGGTTCCCCAGATTAATCCAGGTGGCTGAATATCATCCTTTATCTGCTGCTGTTCCGTCCCAGATGAAGGACACTTCAAGTTTCACAATGATAATTTAAATAATAATTTTAAGAAACTCTCTGACTTTATTACTGTTTATTATAATCATCATAAATAATCACTTGGTTCAGTATAAATGTATTTTAATGACTGAAATGAATTATTATGCTTTGGGTTTAATAATGATTATGGTTGATAATCGGTTATGTGTGTTCAGTAAACCAGAAGGTCAACTTCCACTCTATCCATCTAACACAGAGCTTATCCAGAGTAAACATCATCACATGTCTTTGACTCATGACCAAAGCTTTCTTGCTGAGAGTGGGCGTGTTCTGAGGGGTTTGTTAAAACTAACTTTCCAGCAGCTTTAACTTCAGTTCGTGAACCAGCCACCATCACTGGAGACGAGGGAACGGCCGCCCGGATCTCCACCTGCTGTTCTGTCACGCTGATAGAACAGCTTTGAATAAACGCAATAACCAGCTGACGCAAACTCCTTCAGAGTTATTGATTTTGAGACGCAAATAGTTTCATCAGTCATGTGACCCACGGAGACATCCCAGGACTGATTTGGTCGCATTGAGGTCCTTCTACCATCCTCGTGCCTGGAGGAAATCATCTCCACCTGACATCTCGGATCCAGAAGGGGGGTCTCCTGAAACTGGGTGAGGTAGACACTTTCGACAGATGACGTCTGATGCTGTTTCTCTAAGTAAAAACAGTTAGCTGCAAAACCATCATTTCCAACCCAGAACGGGCTTCTCTCTCTGAAAGAAAGCTTCTGAGAACATTCACGCATCCAAAACTCTCATTTCATTTTAGCTTTTCATTCAGTCACAGGTTTGCCTTTAAAACAAGTTTTAATATCAAAGCTGGTAAATTGTCACCCATGAATTGTCTTTTTTAATTGCCATTTCAAACTGTCAAGTTTAAAATTTTTAGTAAAAAATTCTTCAATTTTTAAACTCTGCCTCATTTTTTAAATGAAACACAGAAAGGTATAAATATTTCTGGTTATTGAAAAAGCAAAGATTCCTAACTTCTTATTCAAAAATAAACTTTTGCTATTAAATTTAATTATCTTAAATTAAACATTAATCTTTGGATTAAAATTAGACCAAGCTCGTTGGCATATGAACTTCTATCGAATATATAATATCCTAGATATTTACATATAATAGAGGCTTCATTGTTAACTCGTTAGGATCTTTTCTCAGAATCTAACAACTGATAGCAAACAGTGTTGATCCTAGTATGTAGAATACGCTACATCAATAACTTGTATAAACACGTCACATTTATCCCTGTCCCTGTCTTCCTCGTGAAATAAATTAACGTTAATCTTACCCGGTGAAAACATGTTCGCTGCAAATCTGAGGCCTGCTAGTCCGCTTGATTGATCGCTGCAGTTCATCTCCGTCCTCAGTCTCCATCAAAGTTATTAAGAAGAAAAGAGTTGAGTTTACGTCCTCGTCTGTTAGTGCAGCCAACCACGCAGCAAGCTAAAACCATTTTACTGTCAAATCAACTAAATAAAAGCGATAAAAGGCTACAAACTGGCTTGTTTTGACTAGCTTCACTGGAGTTTCTACGGGTGTAAACGGTCTATTTGCCGTCCATCATGGCGAAGGGGGCAGTCACATGAGTGGCGTGACGTCACGTGCAAAGGGAAAGGGTCAATACTGAGCCAGGATCCTCTGGAGGTTTCTTCCTTTTAAAAGGAGGTTTCTTCCTTTTAAAAGGGAGTTTTCCTCTCCACTGTCGCTGCATGCTTGCTTAGTATGAGGATTGCTGTATAGTCACTGACACTAGTCAGTGACTCGATGCAACCTGCTGGGTTCCTTATATAGGAAACATTATTTCTGACTGGCTTAATGAACTGACCTGTATTGGAATGTTTATTATGTGAAGTGCCGTGAGACGACTTGTCGTGATTTGGCGCTATATAAAAAAAATTGAGTTGAATTGAAAATATGAAAAATTGCAAAGTATCCCTATAAGTTATTTTTTACAGGAGTTAATAAAACACGATAAAAGTTCGAACCATGGACGCTTCCCAGCACACAACATTCGAATTTATGAATTATTTTCTTTCCAAAATAAATCATTTTTATTCTGAAGTTGAAAATGAAAACCTTTGTTAATATTTGAAAAACCAAATTGTGGAAATTTTTAGATTACTTGGGTTTCTTTTTACTCTGGGAAACAAAAAGTTTCCAAGTTAAATGCTGGAGATTTTTTTGATCTTAGAGCTCTTTTACTGTTAGTTTATCAGACAAAATGTCCCAGAGACAAGAAACAAAAACAAAACAGATCATCTGTTACAGGACCGTTCCAGATGTTTCTATAAACAGCTAGACAAACATCTAGAGTCTGACCGGGCAGCGTGACAACGGAGAAACGAGTCGAGTCAGAGTTTTCCTCTCTGGAGAGTCGCAGCTTCTTCCGATCAGGCTCTGAATCCTCATCTAAAGACAAAACACACACACACACACTTCTCATTTTCATTCTTTGTTTTCTTTATTTTTGACTGAACATGTTCTTCAGGAATGCACTTGCACACTAGGACCTAAACTAAGATGAGGACTTGGTCTCTGCTGACCCACCGTGTGGAGGACAGTGCAGCACAACGCTTCCATCACTGTCCTGCGTTAACGTGACCGATTTCTCGTTTCCTACCGCTGCAGCGTCCTCTTCTGCCTCTGAGCTCATCCTGGTCCTGATAACCACACAAAACAAACCAAACTAACAGCTGTTTCATCGCCAAACAGGTGAGTGCGTTACCGTGGCAGGCAGCGACAGGTAACAGGAAGGCAAGCTGTTTTAATACCGAATACTAAAAAACTGGTTCCATGCGGGATAAACTGGTTTCCTGCATTTCAATTTCAACCAGTTAAAAGGCAGAGAACAAAACACAATCGTCAACGTTTCAAATTCATCAGTTTCTAGTAGAATGCGACGAGCAGCAGAAAATTTTTGCCAAAAGTTTTACTCTCAATTTGAAAGAAAGAAAACGATCTTTTAAATATAAAAAATATAAATAAAATAAAAATCACGAGCAGCTTCACAAAAACAAACAAACAAAAAAAAAACGATTAAAATACTAAAAGGCAAAACAAAACTATCAAAAATGTGTTCAAAATGAGAAAAATGTTAATTCTGATCAAATAATTAAATTATAATGATGTAAGGAAAGGGAGAGAGAAAATGAACGGGAAAGAGGGAAATCAGTGGATCGCGGGGAAAAGAGGAACAAGGAGAGTGTGGTGATAAAGGTCTCACCAGAGCCTGAACAGGTGAGTTTAAAGGAGACCACTGAGTCCACTGATCTCCGGCTCAGGGTGAGAGAGGTCCAGAGTCTGGGGGCCACAGCAGCAGATGATCTGTCACCTTTGACCTTTAGCCTGGTGCTGCACAACCAGTAGGCTTTGGTCACTGGACCTCAGGGACCTGCTGGGGGTGTAGGGACTGAGAAGATCACCAATGTAAGATGGTGCTTGTCCATGTAAGGCCCTATGGACCAGAACCAGAATCTTGAAATGAACCCTGAAGTTGACTGGCAGCCAGTGAAGCTGGAGGAGAAGCGGGGTGATGTGGGTGTGTTTGGAGGACTTGGTCAGAAGCCGAGCACAAATAACTTCAAATAAAACAAATCTTTGACACACAAACGAAAAGCGAGTAAAGAGAAGTCTAGGAGAAATCTTAAAAAAAGAATCTGACATCTACCACCCTCTGCTGGTGGTTTCAGGTAAGAGAAAATGTGTTATTTATAGTGAATAATCGGATATGGATCGACATCAAGAATGCCGAATTACAATGCAGCTCACATACATGTGGTTTCAACTGAAGTGACAATACTGTGTGTTTTTGTATTTATGAATTCGTAAGAATAAGTGAGATTGTCGCTTTTCCCTATGGCGTTTGGCCGACTCCATTACATCGTAATGGTGATCGACTGATGCGGTAGGCTTCTGCGCAGACAAAACCCTTTGCTTGTATTTTTAATGACACGGATAACGTTTTAAAAACGACCACTCGGTGTTTAGAACACATCTGTAGGACTGAAACGTAAAACAGTCACAGCTTCCCAGGCTGCTTCTGACTCAAGTCAGTTTTTCACATCAAGCTAAAAGAACGAAGAAAAACCTCCGGCGCCATGTTTGCGGCAAGGTGACGCTTGTGTAGTACAGCGCGTTCTAGTGCGTGGTTTGAGGTTCGCATGAACCTTTTGTTGCGCCAGTCGTCCGTTGCACCCCAAACAGGCTCCGTCCGTTAAACAGAAACCGAATTTTACTTTTGATTTTGCTACTTACTTCCTGTTTTTGGTCCGGGGACTTTCAAGGTACCAGGATGAAGCGAAGTGCCAGGATGGAGGAGGGGATGGTGTTGTGCCGAAAATGGTGTCCTTGCCGTGTAAAGTCCCTCGTTACTGGAAACGCATTTCCAGCTAAATAAGTTTAACAATGATGAGATAACTTTGTATGATTTTGTCCAAAAAACTGTCACACGTTTGTCACCTTATGATTAGATCGATGTATTAGCGCAAACAAGCGATTTGAACCTAGCTTCCAGCAGCAGGGGGCTCGTTTTTCAGCGCTACACCAGCGGGTTGCCAGACCCGCTCGTTTCAAATAATCAGGTTTATAGTTGCACAAACGGTTTGACATGTAAGATACCCAGTCTTACAAATAAAGTTTGTTAAAAAATAAATAAATAATAAACGGTTTGTAATTGCGTTTTCTTTCCTTGTAAAGGGTTGATGGTTATGCGTTGTCGCATTAGAACTACTCGAAACAAAAACAGAACTGTTTTATAACTCGTAATCTTGACTTTGGATATTTATTAGGAAATCCCAAACAAATCTAGATAGTAAAGCTTTTATTTTACTAACCTGTTTTTAAAACTTACTTATTTTAGGGTTGAACAAATCTGCACCCCCAAAGAAAAATCCTAATTTACCAAACTATCGTTAGCCAAATATCCGGTCCTTCTCAGTAAATGCAGGTGTTGTTTAACAGAAAAAAGGTTCCGTGTTTGTTTCTGTCGGACTGACATTAGTAACGGACGGTGTGTGGAAGCAGCGAACCCGCTGAATTCGAGCTTTGGAGGAAGAGTAAAGTAAATAATGGGCGACCAGCCTCTCAGAGTGTGAGTTTAACCTCTTTACTAACCACCTGCGCTTATAATAATGTCTAATAAGAGTCGCAGATCTGTTTTTATTTCGCGATGTTTGGTGTGAGAGTCTCTGTCGGGTTAAAGTCAGGCGTGTGTTTGCAGCCTGGCGTGTGGGGATGTCGAAGGCAGACTGAACGCTCTCTTCAGCCGAGTTCAGGCCATCCAGAAGAAGATGGGACAGTTTGATGTGAGTCAGATCTGAGAGAGAATCGGTTTTCTGCTGCCATGTTGGTGAAACGCGGATGTGTTCCTGCAGATGCTGCTTTGTGTTGGGGAGTTTTTTGGAGTGACGCCGGAAGCTGAAGCGGAGTGGCAGCTGTACAAAACTGGAGCCAAAAAAGGTGAAAATGTGTAGAAAAAGAACCAGATTCCTCCTGAATGGGCCAGAACAACATGGTACTGGTGCAGATGATAGTTTGACAAGTATCGTTTTGAAACGCCCTCACAAAAATATAACATCTAGTCTGTTACTGGAGCCTACCCACCAGGACGGGGCGGTCCAAAGGGAAGTCTGGGCTAATCTTTGGCCCTTGGAGTGGATTTTGAGGCCCTGGATTACAGTTCACTCTGCTGATTGATGCTAACCCTCTTAGCTGGTTGCACATTTTCATTACACGGGACATTACTGACGAGTGAGGACCAACCCCAGTGGAATCATCTCCCAGACTCGTTGTTCCACCTCTGTCTCCATACAGGCTATTTTAGGAGAGGCTAATTGAATTTAAAAACCTTCTCTTAACCTTTTCAGCTCCCGTTCACACGTACATCTTAGGAGCGGCCAGTCAGGAAACCGTGAGGAACTTTTCTACCTCTGATGGCTGTGAGCTGGCTGAAAACATCACATATCTGGGTAAGGCCACCTGGTAACCCAGCCTCTTGTCTAGACAGGGCTTGGGAATAAATACCAAAGCAAAACGTTTCAGTCCTTTAAACACTTTGTGCATTTTCAGGTCGGCGAGGTGTTTTTACGGGCGCGTCTGGGCTGCAGATCGCCTACGTCAGCGGTCGGGAGGCCCTACAAGAACCGGCTCCGGCTCATTTCTTCACGTCCAAAGATCTCTCAGCTCTTGTCACGTCACTGACCAGCAACTCCAAGTTCAGAGGGGTGGACATCCTGTTGACATCGCAGTGGCCCAGAGGGGTGTGGCAGTACGCAAGCACCCCGGTGAGGAGACACGTATTGTTCCTGCTGTTTGGATGAACATCAGTGTTTTAAGCCAGGAGCTGCAGCTCTCAGGTGAGCTGATGGTTCTTTTTGGTTGCAGGAAGTGAACACAAAGTCGTGTGGAAGCAGCTCCATCTCCAGCCTTGCTGACAAACTCAAACCGCGGTACCACTTTGCAGCACTAGAGGGCGCCCATTACGAAAGGCTCCCTTACAGGTAGGCTGAAGAGGACTTTTGTCTTAGACCAGGTCCAGGACTACAGCTGGAGCTGGGTCAGAAACAGAATCACGTCATTGGTTCACTTTGAATTTAGATGTTTCCTCAAAACAAAACATTTTTCTTTGATTTTTGTATTTTTTTTTTCTGCAAACAAATCCAGCGAAGCGCCCCTCCGATCTCCATGGAGGGGCGCCAAGTGTCCATCTAGTTAATGAAAGACAAAATGAACGGTTCTCTACAAGGACTCGGTTCTCATTGTTCACAGCGAAGAGTCGTTAGGTCCCATCACTGATCTGAGCTTCCTCTGACCCCAGGAACCACGTGGTTCTGCAGGAGAACGCTCAACACGTCAGCCGCTTCATCGCCCTGGCAACCGTCAACAACCCTGCCAAGAAAAAGGTGTGTGTGTACTTACTGCAGTTAAAGCTACAGTTACCTGGAGGTTGTGCTCTGAACGTGCGCTGCGTTAATAAACGGGACCTTCTGTGTTCAGTATCTGTACGCCTTCAACATCGTCCCCATGAAGAACCTGGATCCTGCAGAACTGGTGAAGCAGCCGCAGGACGTGACGGAGAACCCGTACAGGCACGCAGCTCAAGACAAAACGCACGCCCAGAAAACGGCTTTCAGCACCGCCGAGGAGGTAAACTGGAGTTGCTTAATTCAATTCAATTTTATTTATAAAGCGCCAAATCACGACAAGAGTCGTCTCAAGGACCTTCACATAATAAACATTCCAATTCAGGTCAGTTCATTAAGCCAATCAGAAATAATGTTTCCCATATAAGGAACCCAGCAAATTGCATCAAGTCACTGACTTTACAGCAATCCTCATACTAAGCAAGCATGCAGCGACAGTGGAGAGGAAAACTCCCTTTCAACAGGAAGAAATCTCCAGAGAATCCTGGCTCAGTATAAGCAGCCATCCTCCACGACTCACTGGGGATCGAGAAGACAGAGCACACGCACACACACACGCACACACACACACACACACACACACACACACACACACACACACACACACACACACACACACCCAGTAGTGTTTCTATGGTTACATTGTGATTGCTTAGTAAATATTCTATTTGGCGAGAGATAAACTTTATTGTATTTATCCTAGTGAATCTATAATTAAACGGGTAAACTAGTAGTAGCACATCCAACGTCAAGGAAAGTAAAATGTTATTATCTGGAGAGGGAGAATGTTTTAGTGGTTAGCAGCAGTGTGCTAGACGATGGCCTCCATGAGGTTATATTCAGGATTGTATGGTTCAAACATTTTGTATCCACTTCTTTACCTGCTTCACGTCTAGGAGCCGGCCCACCAGTTCTTCTTTGACCTGAGCAGGAACCAGGGCGGGGCCTCTCGAGGCCGCGGCAGGAAGCGGCTTTCAGACGGCGACGGGCGAAGTCGAGACCAGCAGCATGGCGGTGACAGGCACCACGAGCACAAACAGCCCCGCCGACACCGTGAGTCTAGTGGTTCTGAGCAAATGAATCAAACGTTTAAAGGAAGAAGAAACGTTTTGATATCTGTGTCTTCCTCGTGTCTAGCGCAGCCCACCGGTCCCTGCTGGTTCTGTCTGGCCAGTCCCCAGGTGGAGAAACATCTCGTCGTCAGCATCGGCACACATGTGAGGTCACACAGATGACATCACCGCTGACGCAAAAGTAACACACATCATTATTACTACTGCCGTACATCAGGGAGAGATGAATCGTCTCGAAACACTCCAGGGATGCTAAACGCCTACAGCTGATTTACTTCAGGATTTAGTCACATTCAAGATGGCCGCCACAGCTAATTAGCATGGATGAACCACTTTTACTGAGATTCAGCTACAATCGCATGTGTTACCATCTTGGAGTCATTAACACCCAAAATATTATTCTGACTGCAAGTGGATACAACTTCCTTCAAAAAACCTTTCACAATAAGAGCCCTGGGCAAAAGCATTTCTAACATTTGAAGCTCGTTAACGTGGCGTCGTCTCCTCTCGACTTTCGTCAATTAACATGGTTACAGCAGGTGTTATCATGAGAAAGGTGATGAACTCCACATTAAAATGATTATTAATGTAAATAGCGATGGGTACAGAATTCGGTACTTGTGAAGGTACCGACCAAATTCCACATTACCGACTGAGCACCGATTGACGTCATTTGAAACGGTGCCTCGTTTCAGTACCCGTCCTTCATAATGAGAACTTGCCTAGACAGCTGCACATGCACAAGAGCGTCATGTCGTCGGTCGCTGCGAGCCAGTTGTAAACAGAGCAGCATGGTAGAAAGAACGCACGCTAACGCTTGGGTCCACTTCACTAAATGTGATGGGTAACTGGGTGATGATGAAACCAGCGACAACGATCTAAGTGAGACATCCTCATCTTAATCTGCTCCGGTAGGTAAATAAAATGTTTAAGATAACGTTAGCTTGATATGTTAGCTTCCGTTTCGCTAATGGTGCGTTCGCTTTCTCCTCTGAACTGCGAATTTCTGACTAGAAGAACACGAACGCGCTCTAAAGTTTGGCTTCACTTTACTAAATGCGACGGGTGATTGGGTGAAGATGAAACCAGCGACAACGATCTAAGTGTGAGGCATCATCGTTTTAATCTGTTCCAGCAGTTAAATAAACTGTTGAAGATAACGTTAGCTTGATATTTTAGCTTCCATTGCCACCGTTGTTATCAGCTAATGGTGCGTTCGCTTTCTCCTCGGAAATTCTAACTTCCCAGTAGGAAAAATCAAATGAAAAAGGACGGCAAAAGGAATGAAGATACACAGTAAATTTAGTTCACAGTAAACATGTTTGCTTCAGTTTAATTATCAGCTTATAAGACTACAAGGACGATGTTAAAATACAAACAGTTGTCTGTTATTTATCGTGATATTTATCAAATATGGTTATATATATAGAAAAATATATATTTAATTATAAAAGATAATAAAAATATTAAACACTCAAAAGTATCTAAAATTGGTACCGTTAAGTACCGGTATCGATTCCTAGGTACCGGGAATTAGTACTGAATCGATTCAAATGTCAAACGAACCCATCCCTAAATGTAAATTATAAACGTAGATGCTTGCAGAACCCAGTAATACTGCTGGTTTTACTCTTCGTAGAAGTAGTGTTTGCCCATTTTTAACACATTTTCTAAATACTGAGTAATGACTTCACAAAAATCACATTAATTTTTGCAACAACCTGACAGAAGAAACACGATTTGATCCCATCGGTGTAGCTGAGTCTGACTGTGTTTTAGTGTTACCTGGCTCTGGCTAAAGGGGCGCTGGTCCCCCGTCACGTCCTGATCCTGCCCATCGGCCATTACCAGTCTGTGGTGGAGGTGAGCTCCGAGGTGCTGGAGGAGATGGAGAAGTACAAGTCTGCTCTGAGGAGCTTCTACAAGAGCAAAGGAGAGCGCTGTGTGCTGTTTGAGAGGAACTACAAGAGTCAGCATCTTCAGCTGCAGGTAGAACACACTAAAGAAGAATCTGTGACATCCTGGTGAGTCGGGAGGCGCTAAACGTATTTACGTTGTCTTTCAGGTCGTCCCTGTTCCGCTGGACCGCTGCACCACTGAAGACATCAAAGAGGCGTTTACAGTCCAGGCCCAGGAGCAGCAGATGGAGCTGATGGAGATTCCTCAGCACACCGACCTGAAACAGGTTCACACACCAGAACGAAACCTACAGACTCACTGTAGACGTAGAGATGTGCTGGAAGCTTACAGTGGTTTCTGTGTGTGCTCAGATTGCTCCTCCTGGGACACCGTACTTCTACGTCGAGCTGGATTCAGGGGAGAAACTCTTCTACAGGATCCAGAAACACTTTCCTTTGCAGTTTGGAAGGTGAACAGATAAACCTTCCCAAGCTGATTTATCATGTTTCAAGTTTAAAGAGCAAGTCACCCTCAAATCAACTTTTTTTTTCTGATAAACTATATAAATGCGTGTCTAATCGTGCTGCAGACACGTGTAGTCTATAGTTTTGCACTTTAGTGCATTTTAGTTAAAATTTACATTTTCTGCCTAAAACTGTCAGTGTTGTGACGTTGTCAGGTAAAAACTCTGCACTGCATTTGAATTTAAATCTGCCATTGCTATTGGCTAAGAAGTACCCTAGAATGTTAGCTTGTACCATATGATGTCACAATGTCGTTGAGCCTGTGTGTGTGTGTTTGTTGGTGGCTCCGCCCTCTCTGTTTGCCAGGCAACAGCATTCGTTGCATTTTTCAAACGGGATGTGGGAGTGGAGTAATACTCTGGTAGGGGGTGACTTGCTCTTTAAATAATTCTGGGAATCTGATATTTAACCGTCCTGATTAAAACCACCTCGGTAGCTTTATCTGATTTATTTTAAACATTTTGTGTTTAAATGAACTTTCTCGTTTTAAATGACTGTCATGTTTATCAGTGAATATGCTGCTGTCAGGGCTGAAGGTGTCTGCTGGTCTCACCTTCGTCACATAAACAAGTTTATTTTTTGCACACACACACACACACACACACACACACACACACACACACACACACACACACACACACACACACACACACACACACACACACACACACACACACACACACGCGCCTTGCTGAAAATACAAAGTTTAGTACATTCCTCTTAAGTTCCAAAACGTTTAATTTATTTTATTGTTTTGAAAACCTGAAGGACATGCGTACTAAAACACAAGTATACATGTGTGTGTTTGTTCTCACAGGGAGGTTCTGGCCAGCGAGGTGGTGCTGAACATCCCCACGCGAGCAGACTGGAGGGAATGTAAACAGAGCAGAGAGGAAGAGGAAGATGACTGCAAACAACTGAGAGATGATTTCCAACCATATGACTTCGCTTGGGAAGACTAGCACACACACACACACACACACACACACGTTTAACTGCTCTTGTGAGGACCATGACTAAAGCGATGCCCAACGGGGACACTTGTCTTTTTTTATTTTACAGAAGCTTTCCTGTAAATCAACAATAAATTGGTTTTTAAGATGTTGTCATATGATCATCTTGTTTTACATCAGCTTCATAAATGAAAGTTTATAGTAAAAATTAAGAAATGTTCTTTTCCTCTCTTGAACAAGAGACTATCCACATTTTTACAAGTTTGGATATTAGATACCGGTGTGTCGGCACTGAGAATAAACTGAACCAAAAATAGGTTTTAGGTCCTCACATCTGATTCACTGTGAAGTGTCTGGAGTCATCTGCCTCTGAAAGGTGCTATACAAGTGCAGGTTCTTTATCACGTCAAATTCAAAAATAAAGTGCTTAATTAAAAAATATGTATGGCTTGACACATAAATTCTGTACTTGCAGTAATTTACATATTGAACCCATTCAGAAAGTAAGTCATTTGATATATATTACAGAGTAAAAGTACTTTAGTGCAATACACCGTGTTTTTCTGTCCCGCGGGATCCTGCGAGCCAGTTACTGAATCGGTCACGTGGTACGGACTGTCAGCGATGCCTTGAACATCACTTCATACATAATCAAGCCTCATTATGTGTTTCACATAAAAAAATAAGATTAAATCTATATTTTAAGAATTTATGTTGGACACGTCCTTAATCTCAAAATGTTTTCGGATCATCCTAAAAAGGAATTTGTTAAACATCTTTGGTGTGTTCTTACTGTGTTTAGTTTCTAATTCCATTTTTGGTTCTTTTTAAAACACAGGAAAGGTTTTTCTTTACCTTGCTAACGTTTCGTTTGCCGACTGCAAAACATCCTCAGAGCTTTTGCAGTCGGCAAACGAAACGTTAGCAAGGTAAATAAAATCCTTTCCTGTGTTTTCAAAAGAACCAAAAATGGACATAGGAATTTGTTAGTTAAAAAATAGTTTTTCAAAGTCCATTTTAGTTTTGCAATTTTATAAACTGTAATCCAAACCCGCCATTTAAAATTTAAACTAAACTATTTCATTAAAACAAACAAGCAAAGACTTCAACACAAATCAATGTTTATTATTTAATTTAAAGACATTTGAATTGCCATTATATTTGCATAAAATTCCAGTACTTTATAAAAATCAAAGCTTCTATTATGTAATATCAAAATAAAACTGTTAGCTGCAAATAAACTAACTTCATTTCATAAACCGTTAGTGCATTTCGTAAACAAAACATGAGTGAATATTAACAATAAAGAAAATGGCAGAAGTATCCATCAGAGAGCAGTAGAGTCCTAAATATTCATTTACTTCTGCAATAAACATTCTGCATAAAAAGTTCTTTAATTTGAATTTGAATAATAAATAGAAAAGTTTAGTCCTCTTTTACTGTGGACATTGCTGATTTATTGTGGACACAACATAGTGAAACTGTTAAATATGCAGAGGCTCCATTCTGCCTCAGAGTTCTGTGGTCATCCTGCAGAAATTCAAGCGGCACACCAATGGTCATTTTTGTGTTTAAATCAGTCTAAACTAAAGCGGCAGAAAAGTGAGGACATGTTTTTGTGAGAGTTTACACAAAGTCTCTGGACCTCTTGATGGCACAACAAAGAATCATGCTGAAGATCATCCCAAAGATCTGCAGAGACAAAGAGGCAGGGACATTTTAATCATTTATAAAGCGATTTGATGTGAAAAAAAATGTTACTTCTCAGAGCAGTTTGTGTTGCTTTTTCATTTCCAAATTAAATTTTTACCCATTCAAATCTTTACCAAGAGAAAAAGCTAATTATTTTAGCCAAATTAGCACATTTTACAAAGTAATAAAACAAAAAGGACTTGGAAAAGCAAAACAAAAAGTAAACCAGTTAATATTTTTTACAAAAACAAAAGCAAAAAAGTTAGCTATATTAAGACACAAGAAGAAACAATCTTTTATATAGTGCGTCTCAAGATAAAAATCACGAGGTGCTTCACAAAAACTTAAATAAAAATATATATAAAATTGGGAGGTATAAAAAACTGAGGAAAAGGAAAATGAATAAGTGGTAGAGTGCTCAGCATAAATGAGTACACCCCACTACATTGTCAGAAAACCTTTAGTTTCCTCTCAGAATCAACATTTTCTATGAGATACCAAACTACAAAATACCCACAAAGGTGGGCCATTGACTGTGAACATTTGTTCATTTTCCCACACAAAAAGTGATTTTCCTCACTGTTATGGATTTTATCAATAACCCAATACCTGCAGCTAAGAGGAAGGAGATGATTAAGCAGACAAGTCACCGATTGCAATCAGGGGCAGAAGCTCAAGCAACTACCAAGAGAATCTGCCCTGAGAGTTTATTTATACAAGAACAAAAAGATAAGACAGTCTGTGAGTGTGTTGCAAAAATAAGTACACTCCAATTATAGTCTTAGGAGAAAAACCACACTTAAGACTACAAAATAACAGGCATTCAACCACAGGTGAGTCTAATGATTCTTTTAAGAGGTGTCCAGCAGCAGGTGACTATAAAAGTGCATTACTTAACAAATAAAAGCCCTTCCCATTTCATGCTGTCAGCAACAGCTCCACATGGAAGAGAAATGTCACAACATCTGAGAAAGGTAATAATTTCTTTACACAGAAAGATGAGGGCTACAAGAAGATCAGCAAAGCTTGTTACATATCAGTCAATACTGTAGCTAAATGCATCCAAACATTTAAGAAAGATGGAAGAGCAACCATATTACAGACACGTCCAGGCCGTCCACAGAAGTTCAAATCTCGACTGGTGCATCTTCTGATGAGAAGGGTTGAAGAAAATCATGCGAGTTCACTGCAGTTAGCTAAAGCAGTAGAAAGCCAAGCTGGAGTGAGTGTTTCCCGTGACACCGTACGGCGCACACTGCAGAGGAATAGCATGCATGGGTATCGTCCATGAAGGAAGCCTCTTCTAAAGCCCGTGCACAAAAAAGCACTCCTAGGATTTGCTAGGGCCCATGCTGAAAGAGATGAAGACTACTGGGACTCTTGAGTGATGAGACAAATATCTGTTTTTGGAATTAACTGTTTAAAAACTGTATGGCATTGTAAAGGTGGGGATTTCAAAGAGAAAAGCATGGCGCCTACAGTGAAACATGGTGGTGGCGGTGTCCTTAGTCAACAATGTACTGCTCTATACTGAAGGAGGAGCACGTGGTCGTCATGCACTTTTCCAACATGACAGTGATCCAAAACACACATCTAAAGCTAATGTTGCATTTCTGCAGAAGAACAGGGTGAAGGTGAATGAATGATCAAGTCTGTCTCCTGATCTGAACCCAATCCAACACCTGTGGATAATTCTGAAGCAGCAGGTTGAGCATCACTCTCCATCCAGCATCCAGGCTCTAATAGAAGCTTTTGTTGAGGAATGGAAAAAAAGTTGATGTTGCAATATGTCGCCACCTTGTTTTAAAGGGGGTGTACTCATTTATGCTGAGCACTGTAATCAGTGGATCCAGGGAAATGCAGCATTGGTTGAAAGAGCTGAATGACTAAATAAGCAAATGTTTCCACCTTTAGTTTGTACTAAGCTAAACGCTAGCTAGCATTAGTTAGCTCTCTTTATCCTGAACTCTACATAAGTCATCAGAGGCCATCTCTGTTCCGTCGAATGGGGTGACGGAGTTGCGTCGTCCCAAGCTGGGCAAGCGGCCCACCAAGGCAGTGCCAGAATGCCAGATAGGCCAGTCCACCCCTGCTTTACATTACATCATATTTATATCCATTTGCATCGAAAATATCTTAAATGATTGCATTCAAAGGGTAGAAACTAACTTACTACCGGCTTACTGGTTTGATAAAAATGTCCTCAAAGTACCGTTTGTACTAAACTCACCATGATGACTCCGATACCGATTCCAACTCCACCAATAATGTGCAGCTTGTTGTTGAACACCTCGTCGATGGCTTTGGGGCAGCTCTGCCAAAAGATAAATAAACCATGAACTGTGCGAGTCATAACATGATAAAACTGACTAACGTTAGTACTCATCTTATTTTTAGTAAAGGCAAAACTAACTGGTTTGCGTAATCTTGTGACCTTATTATATTTGACATTTAAACGTTTTAATCAAACTAATGAAAGTCACAGCGATTCGTTAAATTTTATATTCCAGTCTATTCAAAAATGTAAAAAATATATAATTAAAATGTTGTATTAGTCAGAATACATAATATGTTGCTTTCTTCTACCTAAATTGCACGTTCAGAGAACACTGGTGTGCATATGGATGCTGCGTTACCTTTGTGACAATGATCTCCAGTCCTTCCTGCTTCGGACAGATGTCTTTGATGGAATCAATCACAGTTCCTGTGGGACCACAGCAGTCCAGCTTTGAGGAGAAAAACCAGATGTCAGAATGATAGGAAGGATCTTGATGTGTTAGTTGGCTTGATGAAGGTTCTCACTCCAAAGTGGATGAGGCGGAGGGTCTCCTTCAGTGCTTCCTGTTTTGTAGTTTTGTAGTTGTCGTAGGTCTGCTTATAAAACTCTGTGACATCCTCCACCACCTGCAGAGATTAGTGGAACATTACTAAACACCTGCAGATATGATTTTATTGCGTTCTGTTATGTTTCACTGGTTTAGTTGTACCGTTTCCCGGTTGGAGAAGCCCCAGATCCCTGCAGCCACTTCCACAGCGAAGATGACGAGCAGGAAGAGGAAGAACTAAAGAATGAAAGAACTGTTTTATATGCTGCATCTACCTGCTGGTTGCTTATGGTATTGCACAGGAAACAAATCACCCCATTGGCCAACTCGGAGTCGTGATGTGACCGATTGCTCTTTTACAATCCATTCTCTGACAGCAATGCGTCAAGGTGAGAACATGCAGATCACATCTAGAGTTTCAGATGTTGAACTAACAGAATGCTATTGATCAGCAAAAAGTTGAGTCTTCTGGTTTTTTCCGAGTCAAACAAACAACTCAGGCTTTTGAATGAATAATAAAACCTCTGGTGGAAAGTGGATTTAATGTTGTACATTATGGTAGAGGTAGTGAGGGAGACAGGAAGACCCATCTTGTTGCTTGACTGCCCAAGCCAATCAATGACAGACAGGTGCTGACCTCACAGTTTTGGCCCGCCCTGGAACGCTTGGAACCATGTCGAAGCACCTACTGAATAGTCTGCAGCAACAACAGACTTGGTGCTGATGGAAATGCTGTCCAACCAAATCAATCTGAGTTGGTGCTGGACAATAGCTCAATAACAATATATATATATATCCATCGATAGACGTGTGGTTCAATAGAAGAAAAAAATGGATCAATAAAACTTTAATAAAAGTTTCCTATTTTCATTAAAGCCTATCGGGTAGCTTCCTACTAGAGTCATTACTTACACCCAACCAATCAAAAACACAGACCCAAACACACTTCATCACCAAGCCCTACCCTCTCAGAGCTAAACAGACAGAAATGGGACTTAAACAAGATGTTGCAACAATGAGAGGTGGAAGAAATTGTCCCAAAAATGTTACAGTAGTTCACCAGCGTGGCAACATTGTCATTCTTACAAGTCTAACAAAAAACAAACAACGGTGGTTTGCAAAGTTTTCAAAGAATCAATAAAAACTAAGTCTGATAACACAACCAACTTGTTTTATCATACAGTTATTTCATAAAATGTCTAGGGCTGCACTTAAAATATATTTTCTACATTTTTTATATAGTTTTCAATAATTATTAATATTGATCTATATCGTCCAGCCCTAATCTGAGTCATGCCAGCGGGGTCGGTACAAATGGAATCACGGCATGATGAAAACCCTGAAAGAATGACTCACCAGCCCCAGCAAGCAAGGCGATTCTTTGATGGCTCCACAGCATCCCAGGAACCCAACCACCATCATCAGAGCCCCCGCAGCGATCAGAATGTACACTCCTGGAACAAAAATATAAAACATGCATCAAGAACAGAGATTACAGATGAGCAAGAGACTCTGGATGAGCTTCCAGATTAGAAACTACGTCAGTTGTCAGCCGTGAGCGAGAAATTCGTCTGCAATAGAATCTGGCGAATAGCAGCAGCTTTTAGTCAAACATTCAGGTTCCGGATTACCAGGTAGGATTATTTTCTCTGTGAGCTCGTTGTTAAAGTATTCAGTACCCAAACAGCCACCTGCATATGCGTGGGGAGCTGGGTTGGGTTTAGATCCAACAGATCTGTCACATTGTGCTAGTTTGTGTTCTTGTTTTGACAAAATAGCATTAAATTATCTATTAAAATGTTTTCTGCTCACATCCAATATTTTTATGAGACGATTGGTCCTTGACTCATTTATCCTCTACTGTAATGCGAGTTTTGTATTATTTGAGCAACTTGAAGAACCTGCACACCAAAACCTTTCATAAAGCTAGTCTGTTCGTCAACACCACTGATGTTCTGTTACTTTTGATGTTAACACTGGTTAAAACTGCAGGTGGGTTATATGGCCCAAATACAGTATCACAAGGTTTCAGATAATAACCGTAAACCTGACAAATAAAAAAAGACATTTGTTTTTCATTCAGTCACTAATTCTCAAACTCGAGGACTAAACTGGCTGTAAACACATAAGAGCACTGAGATACAGCTGGAGAGAAAGTATTTGGCGTTAAGTGGATTGGAATAACTTACCAGTGTCGCTAAGGTCAATGGCCTCTTTTAGCTTGTTTAGATCTGCAGTGTATGAACATGTTATGCCTACTTGTGGTTGTTTTTGATTTTCTGTTTTTGGTAGAGACTTTGATTGTTCATAGTGCAGTTGTGCTGTGGCAGTATTTTTATCTTTTATTTTTAGTCATTTCTTTTCACTATTTTGTTGAATGCTCAGTGTTTTAGTACGGTTTTCTTTTTCCTACTTTAGAGACTCTGTTATGTAATTTATTTTTCTGTAGGATAAATGATAATAATAATACATTTTATTTGAAGTGTCTTTCAAAAAAGTCAAGGTCACTGCACAATCAGGGTAAAATAAAACACCAGTAACAGTTACAGTGAATAAGCTATTTTGAACAGATGAGTTTTGCGATTAACCTGAAATTGGTGAAGGCTAAGTCATGTTCCTAAGGTGAGCAGGTAATGAGGGAAGTGATAGGGAAGGGGCTGATCTGCTAAATGCTCGGTATTCCATTGTGACAAGTTGTGCTGGTGGATTAGTTAAGTTAATGGAAGCAGAGGATCTGAGCATGTGAGTGGGTGTAGTGACTCGTAGGAGCTGTGAGGGATAAAAGGGGGCAAGATTATGATTGGCCTTATAGGTAAGGACTACAACTTTGTAGTGGACCCTGAACTTTATTGGCAGCCAGTGAAGCTGCTGAATAACAGGGGTGATGTGATCAGAGTAGAGTGTTTTGGTGATCATACAAGCAGCTGAATTTTGAACCAGTTGAAGTTATGTAGTAACTTCTGGGGCAGACCAAAGAAGTGAGTTGCAATAGTCCAGGCAGGAGGTCCAGGCAGGAGGTGACCAAACTGTTGACTAAAATAGCAGTAGAGTGATTTGACAGAAATGGACCCAGGCGGTTAATATTTGGCAGGTGGAAGTAAGCTGCTCAAGTGACACAACTGATGTGGGATCAGAAAGACAACGTGCCGTCCAGAATTACACCAAGGCTTTTTATCTGATTCGAACAGGTAACTGAAGTGTTGTCTATTAATACTGAGAACCTTGATGCCTTCGCTAATATTATTATTAGATTTCCTGCTCATGAGAAGCACCTCGGTTTTACTGGAGTTCAATTGCAAGACGTTAGAAGAGAACCAGGACTTAATCTCAACAAGGCAATCAGTAAGTGAGCTCCATGTGGAAGCCGTGCAGCTGGTGAAGTTGAGATGTATAACTGAGTGTCATCTGTGTAACAATGAAAGTTTATATTCCATTTACAAACAACGACACCCAAAGGGAGCAGAAAAATGACAAACAGCAAGGGGCCAAGGACCAAACCTTGAGGAACCCCAGATACTACATGAGTGGGAGCAGAGGTACATGTGTCCACCTGAATGAACTGAGTTCTGTTGGTAAGGTAGGATTTAAACCAGGTTAATGTGAGAGATACCTAACGCATAACCTTTTCAGTAGGGTGAAGTGACATACTGTGAATTGCAACACTGAGGACAAGGAGAACAATGATTGTGATTAGGCCTGAGTCTAGCTATTAGAAGCCTTTGTAGAAGGTCCCACTAACAGCTTCAGAACCATAAGCTGCAGACCCCTGCTTAAGACAGACTAAGGACAGAGATACATTTGCTACTCTGGTGGTTTCAAGTTTAAATCCCATTGAACTAAAGAAAAAATCTAGGATTCCACGACCATATAAGGGAGTGCACTCAAACATCTCCTGCTGTAAAATGACCCATAAAGTACATCAGTCAGTGTCGTTCTGGCGTGTTTGGATCATCCCACCCATCCAGATGCAGGAAGTCATCATGAAGCAGAAACTCAGGCGAGTCATTCACAGGATGCATCATAATTTCCCATCAAGCTGTCAGTTTACAGGAGATGTTTGCTTATTGCGTCACAGCTGGTTTGAGAGGAGTCACACATCTTTGTGGTAGTGGTAGTAAAAGAGCACATGTCACCCCTCTGTTCATTGAGCTCCACTGGCTACCGCTAGCTCCACGCATCAAATTCCAATTGCTAACACTAGCATACAAAGTCCGAGACGGTACGGCTCCCATCTACCTGAATCCTCTTGCAAAGGCTTACGTCTCGGCCCGGCCGCTCCGGTCATCACAGGATTGTCGGCTAGCAGTGCCTACACCACGCTCAGGACAATCCAGACTCTTCTCATGCATCGTTCCACAAATGTGGAATGACCTTCCAAGCACGACCAGAACAGGGGCTTCCTTTTCAATTTTCAAGAAACTCCTGAAGACCCTGCTCTTCAGAGAGCATCTTCTTAACTAGCACCTTCCCTGCACCCATCCCCCCTCTCTACTGTCCACTCCTTGTTCCCTCCTCTCCATGACTGATGTCAATGTTGTTGTTGTTATTGTTGTTGTTAGCCTCAAGGGCAAAATGCCGATTATCACTTGTAAGTCGCTTTGAACAAAAGCGTCTGCTAAATACATAAACATAGTTTTAACAGGAAGAGATTTCCAAACCGCAGTCTCAGATGATTTGATGTTTTTATTGGTCTCGTGAGTCTTTCATGTGGATGAATCCTTAAAAAGGACAAAGAAACCAAAACCCACCAGCTCTTCACAGATACCAAGGCTGTTATTAAGATGTTTGTCGTTTCAAAGCCATCCTCCGTTGCCTCGCTGCCCACGTCTCTTATCAGCCTGGTGGAGGCGAAAAACAAGAAGGCGAGCCAGTCAGCCTTTCTGTGACGGTTCCACCAAGACCTCAGAAATCTGTGAACAAAGAGTCGGCTGTCCCGCACAGATGAATGACAGCAGTGTGTGGAGGGTTCTGCCGGGCTGGAGGAACCGCCTCGCCGTGGGCCACCGCTGGCCTCAGCTGCCCTTTAAACGCCCAGCTTCTGTGATCAGCTGCTTCAGCTCCAACATGCACCACGTTAAACTCCAGCTGTGCTGCTGGTAGAGTTTTATTGAAACAAAAGGGACAGGGAGGTGAAGGACAACAAGGTCATCTTCAACTTGGTTCAAGTGACCTCATGTTGCTCCACCCACTTTACTTTTTCCAGCTTTCATAACTTTGTAAGAGCATTTCCAGTCCAGCGGCTGCATCTGTGACAGAATCCCTGAAGAATGAACCAAATTTGAAAACCAGTGTTTAAACTTCATCTGTTAGTCAGTTCCTGGGAGAATCACTGGTGAAGAGAGCTCCAGACCACCTCTGAATACTTTCCATTTAAGCTGTAGCATCTTGGAGCTCTGGAGAAAATCTGGAGGTGAGATCTTTGTTTATGGGAGGATGGCATGCTCATCTGAGCTAGATGAGGGTCCTGGAAGTAGCAGAAAAACTCAGCCTTCAACAGCACAGTGATTTTTCCGGGATCAACAGGAACTTTACACGTTTAATCAGGGCTGACTGATGACAGGAACAAAATCATAATCACGATTACTTTGGTCGAAATTAAATCGGGATTAATACGATCAAACTTTAAAAAATATAAAACCTAAAACATCTAGAGATCACATTTCAGGAGACTGCAGGTATCAGTTCAGATCAGCAGAGGGCAGACTAGAGTCGATAGAGCTGAAAACAGAAAATCTCCTGCAGAAGGTTGGGCGTCCGAGCAGAGAGTGTGAAAGAACAATTCAAGTATTTTTAGGAGCGTTGATGCTTTGAAATACAGCCGCTCACAGAATTACTGGTGGTGTTTTTTTATGAGTCATAGGTTGCTGGTCTTATTAAACCGACATTTAAAAGAATGCCTTTGAACTCGTACTCTGGGTTGGGGGAGGACGGTACGCTAAAATTGGTTCGATGTTTTGAAAAGCTCGGTTCGATAAAATTTCGGAATATTATTATTTTTATTTGTTTAATATCTGAAGCGGCTCCTGTAGTGAGCAGAACCGTCATCACAGGCTGCTGATCTAGCATGATGTCTTTAATTATTTCACAGGTTATTAGCGCCTTAAAAACTCACCTCACACCGCCCGGAGTTTCTTCTTTAAAGCGCTTATTAAATAACGCGCTTCCTCCGCGCTGTATTTCTGTTGTAGGATGAAAACTTTACATCAGTTATCCCAGGGGAAAAGTTCAGCAGACGTGTTTGTTTACATTTTCGTTGCTGCTAGCTGGCACAGTGTGAGAGAAGGGAGGGAGGGGCAACGCGACGCAACGCTCCGTTCAGCGACAGCCAGCTGGTTTGATCCGCTCTGAAAGGCATTGATCAGAATTTGCAGATCACGTTTTTCAATTACCATCTGAGCTGGAGAATCTGTCTGTTCTAACTAACTTCACCTCTAAAGTTAAACTGCGACTGAAAAATGGAGGAAACTGTCCCACCTATAGTCATTAGCCACTTAATAATATATCTCTGACCGAGTTATTTGTGTAAGCAGCAGTTTTTATAAGGTCTTCTGTTCCGGCCTTGCCTGGCCTGCCAGGCCGGAAGCACGGTATAGAATTAAACAGAGGACGAGTCTGGCAGGCCAGGCTACTGGCCTTAGTTCAGGACACTACCTATTTTATTTACCATTGTAGATTAATTGCTTGTAATATTGTAAAAAACATTTTGTTTACTTCTTTTTATTATTGATATAAATGAGTAGTTTTTAAAATGCATCTCCTGTTTTGGATTTCAGCTTAGTTATGAGTATCTCTTTATTCTTTGGTCATCTGTTTATGGTTGTATTTAGCGCTACATACGTTATTTACTTGTTGTTGAACTCCATCCAGGGACAGGAGTTGTAAATTAGCACTAGCTATAAACTCTTGATCAGTTCCCTTTTGTACTATGCTGGACAGCCATGTCTCTGTTAAATAAAGAGAATCAAAGTGAAATGAAAAATCCTATTTTGTTAATAAAACTCTTATTATGCTCATAGAATCCCCAATAGACATAACTCAGACAGATTAAACAGCATAACACTATCCTCACAATTTCTACGACAAACCAACCAACTACAAAACAGAAATATGAAACGAGTCAAATTATCGTTTGTGATGCATTTTTAACAGGAAGATTGGTTACAGGAAATAAAAGCTCTAAGGTACAAAACCACTTCCTGTTTCAGCAGATGACTAAAACTACAGCAGGAATCTCATGTCAAGCGGACGAGGTGGGAAAATGTAAACAAGTCTGATTAATTAAATTCTACATTTTCTTTTAGTTCAATCATGAAAACAGTTTGATCCTTCACTAAATCCTGTGCCAGTTCAGATTTGATAAGATCAAGGGCGCCCCCAAGGGGTGGCCACGGGTGGCCATGGCTACCCCTACCAAAAGTTTCTGGAGGTGCCCCTGGATAAGATTCACAGAATTTTGTTTGCATGAAAACAAATCAGGGCTGTAAAACAGATCTGACTTCCTGTAGCTGAAACCTTTTAGCAAATACAAGATCCCTCTCTTACCAGTGAAGAAGACGGAGGGAGAGTCCTCTCCTTCAAACAGTCCTTTAGTCCTGGAGTCGAACCTCAGCCAGAGTCCCACAGCGAGAACTGCAGTACCTGCAAGCTACAACGACAAAAGGAAACCCTTTTACCCTCGCTGCAGGACCGTTAACACACCAACGCTCTCACAGGTTTGAGTTGTTCCAGAGATGGTTCAATCTCCAACTCTAATCCTGGATGGACCACCTTACCAACCAATACGACGGGTAGAAGTTATAGAAACAAATATTTAAACCAGCAGCTAAATGAGATTAAAGTCAGAATACAAAAATACACTACAACACTTCACTAAAATCTGTTTGTTACAAGTTCCAATGAGGTCACTTCTTCACCAGGCTTAAAGGTTCATCTTTAGGCTGCTAAAGCTGCTTGGTGATGCGGCCCATCACTTTTGGATAATCTGAATTGAACAAATCTTTGACATAGCCGAATGCTGTGTGACCTCCCATTAAAATGACCCAATCAAATCGTAATCCCGTTAGCAAAGATCGCAAAAATGTCAGAGCAAGAGATCAGATGGAAAAAAATAAAAACAGAAAAGTCCGTCTAAACCTCTAGAAGCCCACGGGGTTGATTCATCGTTAAGTACAAAAATGTTTTGGTAGTATTCAGAGTAGGCTACTACTTAGTGCACAGCATTTCAAATTTTTTCAATGCATTGAATGTCGAAATTTCCCAGCTGTGGGTTAGTAAAGGTTTCTTCTACTCTCTTCTACTTTATGAGATGTTAAAGGCGTCGTGACTCTGGGTTACATTTCATTCAACGTCAGATGTTAGCTTTAGCCAGTTAAGTTCTGGTAAATTAGTTTTATGAATTTGTTTTTAAAGAGCCCAAATCAGCTTTTTTTTCTGATAAACTATATAAATGTGTGTCTAATCGTGCTGCAGACACGTGTAGTCAATAGTTTTGCACTTCAGTGCATTTTAGTTAAAATTTTAATTTTCTGTCTAAAACTGTCAGTGTTGTGCCGTTGTCAGGTAAAAACTCTGGACTGCATTTGAATTTAAATCTGCCATCGCTATTGGCTAAGAAGTGCCCTAGAACGTTAGCGGGTACCATATGATGTCACAATGTTGTTGTGAGCCTGTGTGTGTGTGTGTGTGTGTGTGTGTGTGTGTGTGTGTGTGTGTGTGTGTGTGTATTTGTTAGCGGTTCCGCCCTCTCGGTCTGCTAGGCAACGACATTTGTTGCATTTTTCAAACAGGAAGTGGGAGTTGAGTAAGAATTTGGTAGGGGGTGACTTGCTCTTTAAATAAATTTTAAATTTGGGTGTGAATGGGTGAATGTGTTGCAAAACACCTTGGGAGGGATCCAGGACTCTAGAAGGCGCTATATCAAGTACAAGCCATTAAATTTGACTATAAACTAAAAGCTCAGTGGGCAAAAATCTCACCGTCCAATAATATTAAACACCTGGTCACCATCATGCTAGCAGCTGCTTGAGCTACAGCCAGACAAACCAGTAGGAGTGGATTAGAAGCTGCTGTGTCGGCTGTAACAGGTGACTTGGAATAACTTCACCAAACATCCAAAGAAACCAGCTCTACTCGTCACTACCTGGAATAAAAACATGAGATTAAAATGATCTCAGTCACTAAAATGCAAGCGAGAGCCAGAATTTCAGGTTGCTGATGTTAGACTTTGAACTGGAAAAGTCAAAACAAATAAAGAGAAAAAGCAATGAACATGCAGCCGGGTTTTCAACCCGTTGCTGTCACCTTATGGAGACCGAATTATCTCCTTTTCTGTTAAAACAAACAAACAAACAGCGTTTCCTGGACTCTGAGTCACTCAGTGTTTCGTTAACCTCCCATCCTTGACAGGCTTACATCATCAGCATTGCTCAACATCTGGATGTGACCCGACTCAACCAGACAGGAGAACTCCTGCTGCTGTGGTTCAGTGATCCTGAATCTGGTTACACCCAAGCCCCCACAATGGGCTCAAAAATTGAGGCCAACCCGGAAGTACCAAAAATTGCAGTTCCACCCTCATCCACTAGGGGCTGGTGTCAGAAGCGAGCAAATCCTCATTGACTCCCATGTTAAAAATACCAATTTCACAGCAGAAATAAACATGTTTACAGCCTGGTACCAAAACATGTTTTTTGTTTAAATGATCTAGTTTACACTCATGACAACTCTGAGGGGGTGAATTTTTTTCTCACTCTTCTGTTTAAGTGTATTAAAAGCCAAAAATTAGGGGCGACAGTGGCACAGGAGTTAAGTGCTCACCCCGTAATCGGAAGGTTGCAGGTTCGAGCCCAGCTTAGTCTATCGCTGTCATTGTGTCCTTGGGCAAGACACTTAACCCACATTGCCTGCTGGTGGTGGTCGGAGGGACAGGTGGCGCCTGTGCTCGGCAGCCTCGCCTCTGTCAGTGCGCTCCAGGGCAGCTGTGGCTACATCGTAGTTCATCCCCACCAGTGTGTGAATGTGTGTGTGAATGGGTGAATGACTGACTGTGTTGTAAAGCACCTTGGGGGGTTCCAGGACTCTAGAAGGCGCTCCGGGGAAAGGCTTCAGTAGAGCCTCGGTCTGGCTTGGAAACTGTTCCGGCATTTTGAGTCTCTGTGTGTGTGTATTCTTTTTGGATATTATTTGTGCAATTGTTGGACAAAATGCCTTGCTGTGGCATTAATTGCACTAATAGAGCGTCCAAGGAGTCTCCACTTCATTTTTTTCGGTAAGTAAAATTATATTTATGTATTTTAGGTCACTGCCGAGCCGAGCTTAGATTTTAACATGTACTGTTTAACCATGACATTTAAATGTAATAGGGTAAAACCCAGTGCATTTAACATAATGCTGCACTTTAGAAAATGGGTTGAAATATAACATGTTGGTGGAGCTGGGTTCCCACTATCGGCTTGTGGAGCTCTTCTCCCCTCCCCGCAACTCGGCGCATCTTTGTCTGATCGCGGCTTCTGTCTGCAGCGCGGGCTGCCGGCTTGTGGAGCTCTGGGTTGGAAACCTTTCCACCCGGTTCTTCTCAGCGGCAGCTCTGCACATCTCAGATGGCAGCGGCGCTTGTCTGCTGTGCGGCTGCCGGCTTGTGGAGGTCTCGGAGACCTCTGTGTTCCACCCGGTTTTACCCAGCGGTCAGCCCGGCTTATCTCTGACTCAGAAGCTCTGGTGTTGTGCACAGTTAACTCCGGTTGTAGCTAGGTAGCTACCTCTGTTAGCTTAGCTCCCACCTCCGCATTAGCTTTGGGTTAGCTTCAGGTTAGCTTGTAGCTAGTTCGACCGGGTGTCGTCAGTTGATCCCAGCCTTACAGCCCCACCCTCAGCTCCATCTCTCTTCCCTTTTATGGAATTGTCTGGGCTTGACGGAACCTGTGACACAGTCAAAATGGCGGTGGTGGCCACCTCCCATTTAGCCTCAAAAACGTGTTATTGGAGCCTATGGAAATGAATTGTCCAATATTTATATGTCGATGGTTACAGCTAGGCTGTGAAACAGGAGGGAGAAGTGGGGAAACCAGCCAAATAGTTGTTATGAGATACGCTTGCTCAGGTTTAGTGAAGACTACAAACACTGAGCTGCAACACCGGTCAGCTCCAGGGTTTCTGTTGTTAGAGGTTTAAATGTATCAGGTAAGGATACGAATTTTACTTCTAAAGGTGTGGAACACTCGTTTAATCAATACATTTGCAGTGGTCTCTACTAGGAATACATTCAATGACTACGTTTACATGCAGCCAATATCCGGGTTATGATCGGGTTAAGGTCGGTATTCGGGTTTCTGAGTTGATCAGAATAACCCGTTTACAAGCATAAATAGAAAGAGTTACCCCTAACTTGCATAACCCGATGTAAATGCGGACGTTGGGCTAGCGTCAGGATGTATGGACTACGTCCAGACGCAATATGCGTCATTTCCGGTTCTTCTCGTTCCGGTATCCGTGAAAACAACAAAATGTTTCCCAGTTCGGAAGAGATAGCGACCGCGTTTGTTTGCGCTTTAGTTTCCTCGTCACTCCAAAAGTGTGGTGCTGTGCCGCGACTCGCCATGTTGCTCCCAACGTGTTTACTTCCGGAGTTCTGGTGCATACAAGACGTCTCACTACTCAAAAGACCAAGATTCCTTGCGAACAGAGCATGCGCAGAACACACGCTTTGATGGGGATATCCCGATAAGCGTTTACACGACCAAACATTCGGGTTAGAAAAGGGTTACCCCAGGTGTTGTAACCGGGTTTTTAAAAACCCAGTTATGAGCATATCCAGGTTTCTGGCGGTGTTTACACGGACCTGCGGAACCGGGTTATTGTGAATATTCGGGTTGTAAAAGGGCTACTGGCTGCATGTAAACACACTGACTATGTATATTGCGCCAAATCACAAACATTCCAATACAGTTCAGCAAAAAGTTTCCTATAAAAGGAACCCAGCCGATTGCATCGAGTCACTGACTAGTGTCAGAGTCTTTACAGCCCCCCCCCCCCCACACACACACACACGCAGAATAGTGTTTTGATGGCTACATTGTGATTTCTGTCCCAGGGCAGCTGTGGCTACAGTCAGTGTAGCTCATCACCACCTGGGTGTGAATGTATGTGTGCATGGGTGAATGAGTGATTGTGTTGTAAAGCACCTTGGGGGGTTCCAGGACTCTAGAAAAGAAAACCACGGCTAACCAGTAGGTCGAATCTTTGGTAGCTTTGAAAATCTGTCAATAAAAACTGAAACGCCTCATTTGGCTTTCAAGTAAACATAGTAAATCATTTTTCCTGACAAAGTTTAAAAGTTTGATATCATGAGGAGAATCAGTTTGTGAATTTAAAATTCAAACAAACAAAACTCTAACTGAATGATCACTGTTCCGCTTTAATGTGTAAGTAAATCCTTAAACTGCTATTTGTCAGTCTGAGCCAGAACAAAGTCATCGTAACCAAACAGCTAAATGAGCTGTTTCGCCTGCATGTAGATTATTTCCTACAGGCAACAAGAACGACTGATTACCTCCCTGTTAAACTCCACATCAGGCATGAGAAAGTCAATAGACCCAAATCCTTCTTGCCTCAGATGTTGCTGGAAAGCAAATATTCTGAACCGCACCC